TTTTATGATAGTTATCACACTCAGTTAAACTGCTTTCCAAATACAAACTTCCATCTGAAAGAGCCCGGAGTCAGAAAATTAAAGAAGCTTAGAGAAGTTTACCTTGAAAGTCTTAATCATAATGCAAGAGTTAAAAAAAAAAACTGTATGTGGCAATTTGTATCTCTATAGCCAAAACAAAAAATAATAAAATGTTAAAGAATATGTAGTATTAAAGTTAGGTAATACATTGATTCTTAAAGTACTGTATTTTTCAGTTCCAGAATTTCGATTCCATTCTTAGGGTTTCTATGTATCCACTGAGAGTTCCTACCTTTACATTTATTTTGAGTACATTTTGCTTTTTATCACCAACCACAGTTATAAAAACTGTTTCAGAATGTTTACCTGCAAATTCCAACATCTGGGTCATCTCAGGGTTGGTTTCTGTTATTTTTTTTTCTTGAATATTCATTATATTTTCTTGTTTTTTTATTATGGTAAAATATACATAAAATTAACCATTTTAAAGTGTGCAGTTCAGCAACGTTAAGTACATTCACAGTGTTGTTCAATCACCATCCATCTCCAAACATTCAATTTCAGATTAACCTTCCTTCCACCACTTAACTCACAATACAACCTTTTTAACACCCACTTCCATAACACCTACTACCTCATAAAGTTTTTGTGAGTATTAAATGAGGTAGTCTGTGTAAAGTGCTATTTTTATATGTTCACAAATTGAAACTCTATACCCATTACACAGTAACTCCCCATTCTGGTTCCTAATATAATTTGGGGTTATATGTTAGATATTATGAGACCCTGTACATTGTAGAGACCCTGGACATTGTTATATTTTGAGTGAATACTGATATTTGTTTTAGCAGGCAATTAACTTGGTTGAGTTCAAAGTGCAAACTGTCTCTTTGGTGCAGCTCAAATTTCAGTTTGGTTCCCTTATTTGTAGCTATGCTGCTCTGAATCCACCCTGGGTATGTGTGGTACAGGGGTTGGCCAGAGACTTGGGGAGAGTTATTCACATATTTTGAGGCTTCCCCACTCTGCTTCTCTCCTTTCTAGAATTCATCCTTCACTTTCCAATATCTGTGGTTTTCCTGAACTATGTCCTCCACTTTCTCATGCCAGAAGGACTCTAGGTTTCATTTTGGAGTTTTAGCCTCTGAGCAGTGTCTACTATAGCCTGTCCTCAGAATGAAGGCCATAAAAAAGCCAGGAGATTTATTCTGTGACACTCCCTTCTTCCAAGTGTCAATTCTCCTCCAAAATCTTCCTGTTTTCTTTACTCCTCTGAGACTTCAGACACTTATTTATCTTTTGTATTTTTCCAGAGTTTATAATTATTCTCTCTTGGAGTGTCAGTTCAGTAGGAACTCAATCATACTGAGAGCAGACTGTTGAGTAAATTTTAAATTCTTTTTTTACACCAGGTAAAACATTTTGAAGCATTAATGAATTTTATTATGCAATTATTCCTTATAATTGCAATGAACACAATGTCCTAAATCTAATAAAGGTCAATTTAGATTCCCTATAACTAAATCATTTAATAAAAATTATGGAAATCATTATTAAGTTATATAGACCACACAGAATATTCAGATCTACAAACAAATATCAGAACTTTATTGCACACCAGTCCCTGACTACTATGGCTCAGTTTCCCTAGTTCATTTTAAAGATGGCTAAAATAAGTACAGAAAACAATTATTTACATGTAGGTCAAAGCAATCATTTTAGTCTCTTATATCCAATGCATAGGAACCACACAACTTAAAAATGATATTAAGTTGATGGTGCTAAAAAATCACTCTTTAATGCTAATTTTCATTTCTCAATTCTCTCAAACTCCTTTTCTTGAAAAAGATGAGAAACTGGAAAATAGAGCACAACCCTACAGGACACCTTCATCTATTTATATATTTACTCATTTAAAACCAATGAGTTATATAAAAATATATGTGAAAATTTGGTACATTTTCTAAACATCACTGTTTTCACCAGCTGGTGGTGAAGTCTATTGTGGTTATCTAGAAGTGAGGTAGAGTAGGTAAATGGGACAAGGGTCATGCCATTGTAAGATCTACTTAGTCTTTGAAAAATGCCCAGCTTATTCTTTAACTTAATCTACATGCTGTTCTTCTTCTTCTTCCAGTTGTCTTAATTAATTAAGTAACACTGTAACCAGGATGAGCAACAGACCTCTGGAATGTAAATGAACCAATGTGGGCAGAGAATTCAGAGTCTGTTCAACACACTCACCTAAATAACCCTATTCTTAAGACAAAACTTCAAAGGGAATATTAACCACCTATATACATCATGCCTTATATCAACCCCTACCCAAAAGGTACTATAATATAAAACCCCAGCCCCTAAACCCCTAAGCATTCCTCCTTTTAGGTTGCCTGAACACCTAAATGTGTGCTGTCCCTTTAAATAAAAAAACTGCTTGATGCCTCTTGTGCTTTGTTTCTGAAGTCTTTCTTTTGACAAAGACAAGGGCTCAGATCTTACTCTGGTTCAAGAGATCCTCCACCAGTATTATCTTCATCACTTTGCTATTTCATTCAATGTTCTAGTCTTTAGCACAAGTCCTTTCTCTGTTTTATTTCTGATAAGTAGGGAAGCAGCTGCAGGATCCTCTGAGTATGGAGGAGCTTGCACTCTCCCATTGCTTGGGTGATCTGGATGGAACAGCAGCCGTTTATTCACATTCTTTAGCAGCCTGCTAGAAAGTCTCCTTTCTTTGCTTTGGAAAGTTCTCAGAACATAAAATTCATTCCATCCAGCACTCTATGGCTCTCCCAAATTCTGGGGAGACAGGGACACAGCTTCCACAATATCTGTGCATATCAAGAGGACACTGGATGCAAAGTGATTCCAGCTTTGCGAGTAGGGAAGGGATTTGCCCTATGCCAAGTAGGAGTTCAATGAACTTGCCTTTTCTCCCTCCGTTCTTCCTTGCTTTCTGCTACTTGTGTGGCTATACAAATAAAAGAGCCACTTTTCCTGGCACTATGCTATGCTGACACTCACTACTATTTTCACTTTAATGAATTCCTTTCTTACCAGCACTATTTAAACCTGTTCACAAATTCTTGCCTGATCAGAATCAAAAGCCCTCTCTCCTGTCTGGGTTGAGGTTTTGCCTGGAGTACAAGGAGAGACCTCCCCAGATGAAATCGCCTGGCAAAAGAAGTATCATTCTATAATATATAACAGGATCCTTCAGAAGCTGAGCTCTAAAATTCCAATTAATAGTAAAGTTAAAAAATATATATCTGGTTGAGAACTACGTTATCTTCAAGTTCACTGGATAAAAGATACAGAATACACTCTACATTTCTTTAGTAGTTCATAGCTACAAAGAAGAAGGCGAAAGAACCTTCATTTAGTTTAATAAGACATAACTAGAATGTTAATAAAGTTAACATAATAATTTTGTATTACTTTTCTCTTATAATAATCTATAAACGATATACTTAGTCAAACTACACTGAAAGTCATAACAATCACAATACTGTAGATGTTATACTGACTCTCACAATACTGCATGGATTTAGTGAACACAAAGAATGTCAGGCTAAAATAGTGTTTTCATCAATAAACAAGAAACTCAATAGTAAACATACATTTCCTTTCTTTTACTCAGCTTTTGAAAAGTAACCCATTGCATGAAGCAATCTACATGACACTCAGAAACAAGTAACTGATTCCTTTCAAAGACTGACTTAAAATGTGGAGATAAAATCTAACATGAAAATATACTCCAAATATTCATAATCATTTGGTCATAAATCTTGTATACCAATCAGCAAAAGTTATAAAACTAGCAACACAAAAAAATCTAATATAACTCACAACATAATTAGGGATGAAGACAATCCCAAAGCATACACAGAAATTAATTTGAGAAGATAACCTGAGGATTCTGAATGGCCAACATCAGCTGATTAGAGAATGAGTGTGGCCTACGGGTAGGCAGAGAAGGCAGAAAAAAGGGAGGCAGATATGGAGAGACTCACAACAAATATAAAACAGAGAGATGCACACTAATAGGAAAGAGAGCAGAGTGACAGACACGGACATTAGACTGTGCTGGTGGGGTGTATGCATGAAGGTATGAGTGGAGAAAGAGAGCAGGAAAACAGAGAAATAGGGAAGCAGAGAAAAAAAATCCACAGAGGCAAAGTGTCAGAGAGAAAGGAAAAATTAGAGAAAATAGAGACAAGATATGGAGCATAAAGTCCACTAAGAGGTCTAGCTGCAAATGAGCAAGAATCCTTTTCCAGCCTCACTGATCAGGTTAAATCCTCCACCTGTGAAGAATAGCAATTTAGATAAAGAAAGAAGGATGGGAAAGTCCCTATTTGATACATGGAAGTGATTCCACTTCTTAACAAGAATTCCTCAATGAATCAACTGATATGAAAAGTAAATATTCTAAATTGCAAATCTGGTAAATTATACCACTGTTTAAAAATGTTTAATGGTTTCCCCTGCACCTGTAGGAGGTCCATAGCACTTGCTGCTCCAAATTCTGGCCTTGCCTATCTTTCCAGACTCAGCTTTAAATTTCCTGAAAACATCAAGCAGTATTGCGGCTGATCCTCTGCTCTCCTCTTTACTTATTCTGTATAGTAAACCACTCTTTACAAGCCCTTAGTCAAGAGTCTTACTCTTCATGAAAGTTTCTCTAATCTCTCACCTCTTTCATACTTCAGACTTTTAGTAACTTTCTCCTCTGGAGTTCCACTGTATCTCAATACTTCCTATTATAGCAATTACTACATACTATTTCATTTTTTATCTGTTTTTCTCCCTTACTAGACTAGAATGTCCTCTCTTTGCCCACTACCATCTAACGCAGAACCTTGAAGAGGCAGCACCTAGTAACTGATGGGCAGACCAATGCATGAACAGACCTTAGCTGCTTCATCAGAGCACAGAGGAAAGCAGGTATCATACAGGTGAACTAAGGATAAGACGCTTACCTGTTTGGAGTTGGTTAAATACAATTTTGCTCCCAGATTTAAAATCTGCAGTTTTACCAGATCATCTTCACTAGTGAAACTCTTAGCCATCTTCCTCAAAACATCAGGGGCAATTTTAGGAACTCGTTCACAGTTTTCGCCCATGAGCCAAAGAATACTTGCTCTTGCCACAGGAACCTAATATGAGAAGCAGATCATACAGTTTACAAATAAATAATCATACTCTCCTTAATGTTAACATAGAAAAAGCTTTAAATATTATAAAGATTCTACATCTATTAATCTATTTAATGTATATGGACGTTTTTCAGTTATCAAACAAAAAGCACACAGGAAACCTCCTTAAAACTGACTTCAGAGCTAATGCCTTAGAAAAGATTCATACAGGAAAAACCACTGGTACAAAATCTTGAGTCTATCAGAGATCTGCAAATTCTTGGGCCAAATCTGGCTGCACATACCGATTTACGTATGTATTACTATCGCTCCTTTTGTGCTATAATAGTAGAGGTGAATAGCTGCAACAAAGATAATAAGGCTGAAGATATTTACTACCTAGCAATTTACAGAAAAGTCTGCTGCCCTCTGCTCTAGGGCACTGGCTCACAAACCTCAATGCCCATAATGATCCTCTAGGGTTCTTACTAAAACTGCAGAGTTTTGGTATCAGCTCCAGGATAAAAGGTTCTGTGGTAGAACCCTGTAATCCACATTTTATGGAGCGTCAGGGATGATTTCTCTGACAGGTGGTCTGCAGCCCATGTTTTGAGAATCCACAGATAATAAAGAAAAAGGAATAGATTCATTAAAGACTATGATTTAAATCAAAATTGTTATTGTCCTCTATGTATCTGTATCTACAGCACTGGAAATACATAAAGGTGATAAGATCATCCAGGTCTGCTTATAAATCATAAATTCTGGTCTATTATTTGTTAATCAACCAAAGAGATAAGGATACATTTGTCCAACATTGCACTTTGGCATTATTTTTTTAATAAAGTACATTTCAATAATTTATTTTTTTTAAATAACTGCTTTGCTATAAATTGGAAACATTCCATCAACACCATTAAGACCAACATTTTAGAGTATGCAAATTAGCTTTATTACTATTTGTTTATTTGCATCCTCTCCTATTCCAAAAGGAATTTGAAGGGGTATGTAAATTAGTTTCCATAAACATTTTCACCTTGTATAGAAAATTTGCTGTTTATAATAAATGAAAAGCCAATGCCTATCATTAAGAGGTAGCATCACAAGAAATAACACTCTTGATGAAGTCCTTTTCCAAATCTCAAATAAAGTCCTAATATTTTCACTATACTTTCAAAGCTGTACATAGTATGACTGACGAAGAAGAAAATAAGAATAAGGACCTTTGTACACAGTATTTGCACACAAAATTTTATCACAGTATCTACCATCTTATGTTCTTTCAAAACACCCATTATATGAAATAATATAAAATTAGTAAGGTACACCTAAGTAAGGTCTTTCACTAACATCAGAATGAGGTCATCAAAAATAATCAAAGCATATATTTTCAAATATGATAATAGCATCATCTATAAATTAATATTAGAATAAGTTTAACAAGGGAGAAGAAATCAGTATATTATGTAATAAGTGTAAGTACTAAGTACTAAATATAATGCTAAATACTATTATAAATTTATTCATGTATGATAGAACTGATATTCTTAATGTATACTGATTTCTGGAAAAAAAGAGGTTATTTCTAATGTTCCATAGGTTATACTGCATTAAGGCCTTACTCCCAATCTATTACTTTAAATTGAGCTAAAAAATAGTAATTGAGTGGTACATTAAATTTTCCAGTATGAAGCAATTCACATTGCCTGCCATAATGAAAGGTACCTCTAAATAAGGATATAGGGGCAACTTCAGATTTCAGTTATGATAGATTTATTTTTCTTAAATATTTTATTATATATTGCTAGCATAAAAAGTATAATTTTATGACATACCATAATTTATTGCCCCACTTTTAAGTAATTTCTTCTCGTAAGGCACTTATAATTCTTTTTGCAATTAAAAAGACAATCCCTAAAAGTTTCAAGAGATTGTTTATATTCCTATTAATAAACTAAGATAAAAATAACTATATTTAAGCATTCTAAACATTCATAAGGCATTTATTTGAAATAGAGCTCTTTGAAAAAAAAATTAAAAATCAACAAATTCTAATACTCTAAATGAAAATCTCAAGGTGGTGTAGGTGTTTCGGGCAGGATAATATTCAGAAATTCTGGAGCTGAGATAATAACATTTCCAAGTAAACATTTAAAAAAACTCAGAAAACTTCACAAGAAATATCAATAAAAACATATTTATACCAAACTTCTGGCAATGGCATTTTATTAAAAAGCTTAGGAAAATGAAAGACACATATTTTCATGCATTTCACTGTAATCAGAATCACAAGATTTTCAGATTCCAGCTCTCCCTTTCTCTCCCAATTAACTTCCTTCCACTTTTACACCACTGATACATTGGAGACTATTTTCAAAGACTTTGCAGCTATTAATAAAAGAGCCAGTAAGAAAATTAGTCACTTTTTGTTCTCCATGGTCTTTTCTATGATGGGATAAATAGGATTGTTGAACTAAAACCAAACTAACAATACATATATGCATATGATAGAATACTTTCATTATAGATCTTTGCTTTTCAACATTTTCAGAGACAAACTGGCCTGACTTTGCCTGACTCTATTCTAAATGCCCTGAGCAAGCGGTTAAGTGCACTTTTTAAACTTCTCTAAGAAGGCAGTTTCCACTGCCATTTTAACACATTAACTTGCCTGCAAAAACAAATAATGTCTCTTAGCTGACCACAGCAGTTCTAGAAAGACACCTAGAAAGATTTTAAAGATCACTCTGTAAGCAGTTCAATTTAAAAGCTATTGTGTTTCAACACCAGTTCACTACACAATGCAACAGTGTAAAGTAAGTTCTGCAAAAACATCACTTTTATTTATTTAAATTTGTCAAAGGTGAAATCAGTAGACATCTAAACAAACTAGATACAAGTAGCAAATCAGATCCAATATTCTGAATCTGGACTCAAAAAGCATTAAAGCTTAAGTCTGAATTAAATTGGGGTGGCAGAGCAAGTGTAGTTAACTTGTGAAACGGCAGGTATTCGGCGAGACCCCTAGACAAGTATATAAAGTGCTATTTCAATATTACTCAGTAGTCTTTATGGAGTAACATCTGTCAACTTCTTTTATGATATGAAATCCTCAACTGCCCCATTCAACATTACGTGAAACCCTGTTAGAACAATCCTCAGGTAACATATATTTCATTGTGGAAGAATTCTTCTCCAAAAGTTGTTTTTACTACAAGTGAAGGATAATGCAAAGGATAAAATATTCACAATTAGAACATATAGTTCTGATTAGGTAAGTTCTGACTACACTGCTGACATAAATCTATTCGATTTGAATGAACTTAGAAAGTAGATTTAAATTTTTGTTTTCATATTTTCAACTATGCCACTTAATAAATAACAAATAGATTCAAAGTCCTGATTACAATAAAATCTATGTTTCTGTGATGTGTTTTTTTCATATACAACAATGATAGTATTATATTATACAAAGCCATAACAGTAGTAACTCCAGGTTCCTGCACCTGATTCCAGTGTGATTAAGTATGTGGAGAGGGGTCTTCCCACACATAACACCAAGTAATTCTTGAACACCAAGAGGGTGTCCAAGAACTCAATTCTGATGCTATTTGCTTGGAGACAGTAGCACATTCCCAAGGTTTAAGGGATCTGTCCTACAAGACTTGCCCTCCACCCCCAATTCCAGACACAGTTGGTAAACCCCAGGCAGTTAACCTGTGCTTCTGACCTACTGGCTACAGATTGGAGTTTCCAATGACTTCCCCCTTAGGTTTGATTAATTTGCTGGAGTGGCTCACAGAACTCAGGAAAACATATTTACCAGATTAATAAAGAATACTGTAAAAGATACAAATTAACAGCCAGATGAAGAGAAACAGGGGCAAGGTCCCAAATACAGGAGCTTCTATCCTCGAGGGGGCTGACTGTGTGGCAGGTGGGAGAGCTCTGGTTCCCCAAACGAAGAAGCTATCTCTGACAAAGAAGTGGTGTCCAAGACAGCAATAAGCTCTTCTTAAAGGTTTTTGTGAGGGCTTCACCACATAGTCAAAATTGACTAAATTATTGGCCACTGGCTGATTCAGCCTCCAGCGCCTGCCCTTGGGTAGGGTCCAAAAGTCTCTTATTAACATGACAAAGCACCCATTTCACCTTTAAGGCTCTGAAGTGTTTTCAGGAACTGTGGATGAAGACCAAATATACCTGGAAAATACATATTTGGTCATCTGAATGACCAAATATATATTTCTTATGACTTATTATATCTCAGTTCCCTTTTAAAAAATTACATAGCCTACAACTATTGAGCTCTTACCATGTGCCCAGCACTGCTTTTAAGACCTGTTTTCTCAATCAAGTATCACAAAAACCCTAGGAAGAGGCTGTACCATTATCTCCAGTTGATATATGAGAAAACAGGGGCACAAAGGGGTTAAGAAACTTGCCCAATATCTCTCAGCTTGTCAGTGGTGGAACCAAGATGGAACTCCAAGTCTGAATCCAGAGTTCACTGTGGACATGGGTAGACAAAATGAGTTTGCTCTACTAGGAAATATATCAGCTAGCAAGACAAGAAGACTAGCTCTGGTCCCAGATTGATCATATATACCATGGAGACTAATAACTTCACCTCATTAACTCATTAATCAAATGGAGGATTAATCCTTTGTGCTGTTGTTCTGTCACAGTGTGCAATGGCTCCCTTATGGCCTCCTGCAGCTTCCCCTGGGAGCCTGCCTCTCAGTGCAGGTCTCTTATGAGTCTATCTATGTATTTCTGAGTATCAGCAGTAATGTCTCATCTTTATTTCTAATTTTACTTATTTGAGTCTTCTCTCTTTTATTCCTAGTTTGTCAATTCTGTTTATCTTATCAAAGAACCAGTTCTCAGTTTCAGTGACCCTTTGTACTGTTTTTTCTGGTCACTCTTTTGTCTATTTCTATTCTGATGCTTACTATTTCCTTCTTTCTGCTAGGGTTCCTTAGGGGTGTAAAGTCAGGTTGTTTTTTGAGATCTTTCTAATTTTTTAATAAATGCACTTACTGCTATCAACTTTCCTTTCAGAACTGCTTTTGCTGCATCCCATAATATTTGATATACTGTGTTTTCATTTTTATTTGTTTTGAGATTATTTCCTTTTTTATTTCTTCTCTGTCCCAATAGTTGTTTAAAAGTGTGCTGTTTCATTTCTATACACTTGTCTTACTTTCTTCATGTTGATTTCTAGTTTCATATCATGTGGTCATAGAAGATAACTGGTAGGATTTCAATCTTAAATTTGCTAAAATCAAATCTGCCTTCTTAACCTTCATACCTCTCATACAAAAGTTTTATGAGAAGTCCTTGCTTTGATTATTAGACTCAACAATAAGAGTAGATAGGAAGACCAAGGAACTCCCTGGCAAGAGCTGTGGGTGGAAGCTCAGATGCTAAGTGATTCCAATGAATCTTACTGTTAGCTGTAAGATAAACATATAACTGCCCTGCAAGCTTTACTAACACCCAGAGGCAAAGCAATTTTGCTACTAGAGATATTAAACACTGGTCCTGACTGGTAGGCACCAAACCTTGCCATCTATCACCTTCAACTACACAAATATTACTCTCTGAAGAGATTCAGAATATAGATTATCTCATCTTCAAAGGAAATAATATACTCCTCATAAACTATAACCCTGTCAAGAGACAGGCATAGTAAAAGACAAACACAATGGAGAAGAGTTTGAAGAAAAAGCAGATAAATGCCATGGAGAATGTTTCAAAAGGCAAGACGTGATCAGCGAAGACAAATGCTAACTCTTGAAAGATCAAGAAAGACATGGACAGCAAATTATCTACCTGATTTAATAAAAAATAGATAGTAACCTTGGAAAAGGCAGAATTAGTAGACTGGTGGGGAGTCAAAATCAGGCTGTGTTGGGTTGAGGGGTTTAAGGAAAGGAAATTAAATTCCTTTCAGATAATTCTTTCAAAAACTTTAGTTTTAAAGGGAAGAAGAGAATGAAATAAGACATGACAATAACAGCAAGCACTTACGCAGTGCTACTATATGCCAGGCAACGTTGTAAGAGTTTTACATATATGAACTGAGGCAATACTTACAATATAGATTCTTTTGCTGTCATCATTGTACAGATGGGAAAAGTGAAGTACAGAGAATTTGATGTAAAAACACAGAGCTGGTAAGTGGTGGAGCCAAGATTAATATTTATTTTTTTAACATAATTTTTAAACATAATTTCAGATTTATAGAAAGGCTGCAAGAATAGTAAGAGTTTATAGTAAGTAACAATTTCTGAACACCCTTCACCCAGATTCCCCAAGTTACATTTTACTGCATTTGCTTTAGCTATCTATATATAATAATGTTTTCTGAATGAATAAAAGTTGTAGACATGCCCTTATACACACAAAAAAACACTTCAATGTAAACTTCCTAATAAAATGCTTTTACATATCTATTGTAAAATTATTTAACAATCAGGAAATTAAACAGTGAACCATACTACTGTCTAATCTATAGATTTATTGAGATTTTGCCAATTATTCCTACATAATCCTTTATAGCAAAAGAAAGTCCAAAATTTTGTTGCATAGAATTGTCATATCCTTTATATCTTTCATTCTGAAAAAGTTTCTGAGTTTTTCTTTACATTTCATGATACTGACATTTTAAGGAGTACAAACTAGTTATTTTGTAGAATACCCTCATCTGGGTTTGTCTCATGTTTCCTCTTGATTACATTCAAGTCATTTATTTTTGGCAGGAATTCAATAGACTTGATGCTGAGTTCTATTCACTCTATCTTACCAGATGTACATGATCCCATTGCTGGCAATGTTAGCTATATTCCTTTAGTTCAGCTAGTGTCTGTCAGGTTTCCCCACTGTAAAGTCAAAAGTCATTAATTGTACCCTTTGTAATCAAGAAGTGTATTATGAAGATAGACTTGAAGACTGTGCAAATATCCTATTATTCAAATATTCACCCCTTATTTTTTTTTTAGATTCTTGCCTGAATTAATTATCATTGTTATGGCTGGCAAATGGTGATATTCTAATTGTATTATTCATTTCACAGTAATTGTTTTTTTAATTGTAAGGAAGAGCCTCCCTTTTTTCTTATTCATTCATTCATTTGTTCCAGTGTGGATTCAGAAATTCTTACTCTTACTTTACTTAACAGGTTATAATCCTTTTACTATCATTTATTTTGTTGCTCAAATCAGCCAGTGGGAGCCCTTTCAAGACTGCTCTTGGATCTTTTTGACATCTCTTTATCATTGTAGAGTATGACCTTGCTTTTTTGGCACAATAAGATGTTCTAAGATCATCTTGTTCTTTGTTCTATGCCTGAAATCAGCCATTTTCTCTAAGGAGTCCTGGTTCTTTAGAGAAATGGAGAGAGGTAAATGGAATTCAGAAACCAGTGTCTACTGTAAAATGCAGGACTACATTCTACAATATGCATGAACCTTGAACACATGCTAAATGAAAGAAGCCAGACACAAAAGGCCACTTATTGCATGGTTCCATTTATATGAAATGTCCAGAATAGGCAAACTCATGGAGACAGAAAGTAGATTAGTAGTTGTCAAGTGCTGGAGTAAAGGAAGGATCAGGAGTTTGAGGCATGGAACTTTTTCAGAGAAGACAAAATGTTCTGAAATTACACAGTGGTGATTATTGCACAACCTTATGAATATTCAAAAACTACTAAATAAAGTGAATTTTATGGTGTAAAACTTTATCTCTAAAAAAAACAAGATATGGGTAGTAGGTCTGCTTATTAGTACTGGGGTATTATTGCATATAGGCCCTCTCAAATGACCATCTTGGGAAACAGATGTTTGAACACATCATATACGCATTAAAGTGTGTACATATAAATGTATAGACATACATACATGCAATATATACACTCACACACCTAGAAATCCATATAAAAAGCCATGAAATTTACATTGATACCTCCAATTCCAATCTAACACTGCAGTGTTTTTTGTACTCTTCCCCTTTCTCAGATGTGAAACTCCCTTCTACAGCAGTGTGGAATCTTAGAACCAGGATTTGAAATCCAGATAGTTTAGCTCTCTTAACCAATATACTTCAGAATGTCCATTTCTTTGAACAAAACTACAATTTACTTACTAAAATTAAGCTGAATTCAGCAAAGATCTCTTAATTGGTACTCACAGTGATACTGTCCAAGAGTTTAGCCATATGTTTAATAATTTCACCATGCTGTGCAGGTTGCATTTGCAGTAACTTCTTAATAACAACCACACTTTCAGCAACAACTATTTCTGAAAAAGACAGAGATTATTTCTATTAAGTATGTATAACTCAATTCAAGTGAAATATCCTAGGTAAAATGTAAATTAGCAAAACTTTCTACATGTCTTAAATGACGAGGTAAAAACTATAATCAAGAGTGTGCTTTCAAAGCTTTTGGGAGAACATCCATCTTAAGTACAAGAGTATACTTTAATTTCTAACCTTTGTTGCTATTGCCTAGCTTCTGATATCCCTTTCCAATCTCTGCTTCTTAAAATCAGAAAAGCAAAGTAAGGTTATGTTGTTCACCATAATATTCAAGCACCTTTGGCTTGTATCCATAGCTCTCAAATACTGTTCTTGGATTCCCAACAATTATATAGTGGTAGTCAAACACCTACAGTCTAAATAACATTTTTCTAATTCTAAAGAAAACAGCAAACTAGAAAAAAAATTCCTGATATGGTTGTCCAGAAAAGTGCCTAGTAAGGATTCTTTGCAGTAGGAAAGGTGTTTCTATACAAACAGCATGGACTTCAGAGCCAGAAAAAGTGGGACTATGAGCCAGATTTTCTCCATGTGTCCCATGAATAAACTCTCTGCCTTTCTTGGCTCAACTCTGTGACCTTAGAGGCTGACCTCTATGGACTGCATTCATCTACCAGACTCCCTTGCCAGTGGGGAGGGGATACTTACTGGATCTCTCTCTTGCCCAGCCTTCCTGGCAGCACTTGCTCCTCCACTGAAGGTTTCACTTCCTGAGAGTGGCTCTCTCATTCAGGGTCTGGTAACTGCTCCCACACCTCACACCCCTTCCCTTTACTTGTAGATTTGATAAACGCTTCCTACTGTTGCTGAACTGTTAACCCCCCAGGGGTTACATCATACTTTGTTGATGTCACATCATACTTTCTTGGTGTCCCCCAAACCTGACAACATCTTACAAATAGTTCCTTTATTAAATTCTCTTTAATTGTTCCTTTTAAGTGTGTCATCTGTTTCTTGCCTTATACTGGGAGTGGCTCCAGGAAGCAGATTCTCAAAACTGGGATTCTGAGATTGAGTTAATACACTGAAGTGGCTAATCACTGATTCAGAGTTACATTTTTGGTGGCAGAAAGAGAGAAATGTAATATAACTAACCAGAGCACCTGACCTTATGGAATGAATCTTATATTAACAATTATAAATGCCACTGAGGCAAAGAAATAAATCAACATTGCCTTTACTTATTATTTTGGCTTTTTTTAATTAATAGGGTTTCATGGATATTAGAGATTATCCTGAAATACACTACAAAGGTTTATTTTAATATTATACAGAGGCAGGATTGGCTATAATTGAAATATGTATTTGGCATTATTCATCCCTTGATGCTGTATTAGTTTCTTATTGTTGTCATAGATTACGACAAGCATAGCGGTTTAAAACAACACTAATTTACCATTTTATAATTTTGGATCCAGAAGTTAACATGAGTTTTATGGAGCTAAAATCAAGGTGTCAAGATGACTAAATTTTGTGTGTAGGTTCTGGGGGAAAAGCATTATTTTGGCTCTTTCCAACTTCTAGAGGCTGCCTGCATTCCTTTGCTCAAGGCCCCCTTTTAGCACTGGCATTTGACCTCTGCTTCTGACATCTGACTCTGCTGGCCTCCCTTATTCTTTTATAAGTACCCTTTTAATCACATTGGGTCTCCCCAAATAATCTTTCCATCTCAAGCATCACAATAACAATCATACCTCTTTTGCTGTATAAGGTAGGTAACACAGTCACAAGTTTTAGGCTTTAGGATCTGGACATCTTTGAGGGGGGTCATTATTTTGCCTCCCCCACATGTGTTCTCATTCCTTTAGGTAATTCCACCTTGCTTTTCCTTTATGGTACCTGCTGCTGCTCAAAGGCCACAGTACCTGGTGCTACTCCACCAGAAGCCCAAAATGCACAAAATGATCCTATGTTCTTGACCATTCCTAGCTTCCTCCTTGACCTCAACAAAACTTAATGATCCTCACTCATAAGAAGTACAGCCTATTCACTGCTGAATTTTATCAAACATTTATTAAGGTTTTCCAAAAAGTATAAGAGGAGAGAATAATCCCAAACTCATTCTACGAGGCCAGCATCACTCTAATACCAAAACCAGGCAAAGACACCACAAAAACAGAAAAGTACAGACCAATATCCCTGATGAAGATAGATGCAAAAATACTCAACAAAATATTAGCAAACCAAATTAAAAAATACATCAAAAGGATCATCCATCATGATCAAGCAGGATTTATTCCAGGGATGCAAGGATGGTACAACATTCGAAAATCCATCAACATCATCCACCACATCAACAAAAAGAAGGGTAAAAACAACATAATCATCCCCATAGTTGCTGAATAAGCATTTGACAAAATTTAACATCCATTCATGATAAAAACTCTCAACAAAATCGGTATAGAGGGCAAGTACCTCAACATAATAAAGGCCATATATGACAAACCCACAATCATCATTATACTTAACAGAGAAAAGCTGAAAGCTTTTCCTTTAAGATCAGGAACAAGACAAGGATGCCCAATTAATATACAATAAAGGAGCCATGGACATACAATGGGGAAATGGCAGCCTGTTCAACAACTGGTGTTGGCAAAACTGGACAGCTACATGCAAGAGAATGAAACTGGATCACTGTCTAACCCCATACACAAAAGTAAACTCAAAATGGATCAAAGACCTGAATGTAAGTCATGAAACCATAAAACTCTTAGAAGATAACATAGGGAAAATCTCTTGAATACAAACATGAGCAACTTTTTCCTGAATGCATCTCCTCGGGCAAGGGAAACAAAATAAAAAATGAACAAATGGGCATATATCATGCTAAAAAGCTTCTGTACAGCAAAGGACACCATCAGCAGAACAAAAAGGCATCCTACAATATGGGAGAATATATTTTTAAATGACGTATCAGACAAGGGGTTAACATTCCAAATATATAAAGAACTTAGATGCCTCAACACCCAAAAAGCAACCCGATTAAAAAATGGGCGGAGGATATGAACAGACACTTCTCCAAAGAAGAAATTCAGATGGTCAACAGGCACATGAAAAGATGCTCCACATCATTAATTATCAGGGAAATGCAAATTAAAACCACAATGAGATATCACCTCACACCAGTTAGGATGGCCAACATAGAAAAGACAAGGAACAAATGTTGGCGAGGATGTGGAGAAAGGGGAAACCTCCTATACTGCAGGTGGGAATGTAAACTAGTTCAACCACTGTAGAAAGCAGTATGGAGGTTCCTCAAAAAACTCAAAATAGAAATACCATTTGACTCAGGAATTCTACTCTTAGAAATTTACCCTAAGAATGCAGGAGCCCAGTTTGAAAAAGACATATGCACCCCTATGTTTATCGCAGCACTATTTACAATAGCCAAGAAATGGAAGCAACCTAAGTGTCCATCAGCAGATGAATGGATAAAGAAGAGGTGGTACATATGCACAATGGAATATTATTCAACCATAAGAAGAAAACAAATCCTACCATTTGCAACAACATGGATGGAACTAGAGGGGATTATGCTCATTGAAATAAGCCAGGTGGAGAAAGACAAGAACCAGATGATTTCACTTGTCTGTGGAGCATAAGAACAAAGCAAAAACTGAAGAACAAAACAGCAGCAGACTCACAGAACCCAAGAATGGACTACAAGTTGCCAAAAGGAAAGGGATTGGGAAGGGTGAGTGGGAAGGGAGGGAGAAGGTGAATAAGGGGAATTATGATTAGCACGCATAACGCAGAGGGTGGGGCGACATGGGGAAGGGAGTATAGCACAGAGAAGACAAGTAGTGACTCTATAGCATCTTACTACGCTGATGGACAGTGACTGTAATGGGGTATGTGGTGAGGACTTGATAATGGGGGGAATCTAGTAACCACAATGTTGCTCATGTGATTGTACATTAATGATAGCAAAATAAAAAAAAAGAAATGAACAAAAAAGAAAAAAGAAGTACAGCCTACTATTTTTATTTTCATTTTGTAACATGAGATCTATCACCTTAACAAAACTTTAAATGTACATTACTGTTGATCACAGCAGATCTCCAGGGCTTATTCATTTTATGTAACTAAAACTTTACTCATACTGATTAGTAACTCCCCATTTCTCATTTCCCCCAGTCCCTGGCAATGGCCATTCCATGTTCTGATGCTGTGAATTGACTATATTGTAGATACCACCTACAAGTGGAATCATTCAGTGTTTGTTTTTCTGTGACTGGCTTACTTCACTTAGCATAATGTTCCTAAGGTTAGTGACGTCTACTATTATCCTCATTTTGCAAGTGAGGAATCTGAAGCACAGGGAGATTGCATAACATTAACAAGATAACATTAACATTCAAACAGGTGGCAACAGAGGTAGTGGTCAATATATGGAAGACTGTAATACACAAGTTTTATATTATCGTCTTCCTCCATTAGATGTGAGTTCCCTAAAGGCAGGAACCTTTTAGAGACTGAATGAGCATCTTATTAATCTATTCAGCATTTACAAAATACCTTAACTGATTCAAGTTCTCAATAAATGTTTATTGAATTATATAAACCTAAACTAAACAAAAAATAGATCTCTGTTCCGGTCTTTTGAGTTAACAGGAGATGGTAAGATTGTTATTCAGACAAGCAAATTTTGCTAATATGTTAGCTAAAGCAAATTACCTTATATAATTAAATTACCCTAAACTAACCAAAATGCAGATTTCTCCTAAATGTCCTTATGAAATTTGTTTATCAAATTGATCTTAGATAGTGATACTGGACTATTTCAAGGCAAGCTTCATGTCTGCCTAGAAAAGTCCTTTCCATGTCAAGAAGGGAGAAGTCAATAACATTAAAAAACAATAAAACTATAGGTCTAAGAATATATTGAATATACGTAAAAACAAGGGATCTTTTTAAAATGCTGTCCCTGAGATTTTAAGGTACAGTATGTGAAAGGATAATGATCTATGGATATTAATGTAAAATCAAAGTATCACAAATTCTTAGACCCTCAAACGATTTTACAGCTATTTAAAGAAACTGAGGCCTCATTCATAGCATTTATTCTTAAAATCACATCTTGTGATAGGAAGAGGGAGGGCTCTGTTGTCAGGATTTAAAGTTAAAAAACATTATAACGTTCTTTACTGTTACTAATTTAAATATAAATATTCTCCTTATTTGTTTTACTACTCACTTTTATTGAGCCAGATTTCCAATCTACAGAAGTGTAGCATATGTGATGAAGAGTTAAAGAATTAGGCGAGATAGGTTAATGATGATTATTGCAAACAGAACCTGGAAAGTGCTGAAGGGGTAGAATATTCATCTTAAATCAAAGTCAAGGAAAATATTTTCTGACTAATCAAATTAATGTGTTATCAAAGCTAAAGTATAAATAATTGCTTTAAAATCCATAGCCTGAAAATTTCACAAGAAAAAGAATCAAAAGATAAAAAATTGAGAAAACTTGTATATATTTTGCTCTGAAAGAACTAATCAGTATTCTAATTATTTGTTGTACTTTTTGTATACAACTAAATTTTAAAAGAGCAATTGCCCTGGTAAGCCTTGGTTCATAACCTTTAACTCTGGAAATACTTTCCAAAGGAGTGTGTCTTGTCAAATAAAAGGCCTTATTAACAATACAAGAAAATAAAAATATGCTTTTTAACTCACATTTTAAAATGTGACACAGCATTAGAGACAAAAAGAATGTAAAAATAGAAATAGATAAAATGGATGACATTAGCATCCATCTATACCCTCTAGTTACCCTCTACAATCAATTTTTTTTAAAAACCTATTTCCTTGATCATTTCGTTTGCCATTTACTTGGAGTTTTAATACTGCAGGTGGATAAAAATGTCCTATCCATCATATAATCTTGAGTTTACAGGTTAAAGTTTACAATACTGTGTTTTAAAAAATCACTCTTATTTGGGAATAAATTTTGTTTCAGTTTTTGCAACATAAGTACTTACAATGTTACAGTTTTCTGAATGTGGGAAAAGATAAATAGGGATAAGAGTTATTGTAGTGAAAAGCTGTTTTTCAAATAAAATATAAAAAATAATCCATTTTGTTATGTTTCACCTCATGGTTGTTACAGCATACATGCCTGTGTTTAAATGACATAATTATATTTAGAATTCCACAAATAATTTAAATGCTTTTACACAGAAAATTATGCTTTACCTAAAAAGAACCTCCTTTTAATAAAATATACAATTATAATAAAAGTCCTCTAAATAAATATATAGGAGAAAGTTTACTCATTTTCTTTCTTCAAATAGCCTCATTTATTCTAAAACCAAACCATAGAAATAACTGACATTTTTACCATAAACCAGTATGAAATCTATGTATTTTACTGGATATTACCTATCCAGTTTTACAAAATGTTTATATATTACATAAAAACATGAAGCAGTTATAAACTGATGACTTATAAATCTACTTAATCTTGAATATAAAATTATTAGGTGAATTTCTAGAAAACAAACTTTGAAGGTACACATTTTTCATACTTTCTTGATCCAGCCACTCTCCATGTTATAGTCATTTGCCTGCTTTTAGCACCCTCTGCAGGTGAACCAACATTATACATGACTTATATGCCATTAAAAAACAGTAAAATAAAATAGTGTAGAAAGTGTATATAATGAAGATGCTTAAATTGTCAAGAAATAAACAAATCACATTTTCTTAGTTCTGTTTATGCAAGATAACTGTTTACAAGTTAATTAACTAATTTACTAAAACAACAAAAATATGTGTGTGTGTATATTTCAAAGATAAAATGTTATTCATCATGACCATGCTACTGACATAAAGGAAAGATTTAAATGTAATATTAAAAACTGTCACATTTTAAAGATCATACCAAGAATATTCAAATTATAAATTACTTGAAAATAAAATCAAACTGTCAACTTACCATCTCTGTTGGACAGCAGATATACCAAGCCATTGAGGCATGTGTCAGTGACTTCTGAGATGTTGGTTGCACATCTGCCTATAGTTTGAATAGTGGCTGCAGCAAACTGTTTATCCTGGCTTTTCACATATGTCTAAAAAAAGATTATTTCAATTTAGTTTATACACTGGTACTATCAAGTGAACAACAACAAAACCCCTATTATATTAAAGAATGTCAATATGTAAAAATTCTAGAATACATAATCTTCTCATTTATAACAGGAGGTCCTACTGATGACTTAATTTAATTTTGTTTTTTACTTAAAGATTGTACCTATGACAGAGGCACATTTTCAAGCCAGGTTCATTCACCTGTGGCCACAATGGCTCTGACTTCAAAACAGATAGTAGGGAGCAGTCACCCAAGGACAGCAATTAGTTTTAAGTGCAAGGTTGAAAGAGATGATGAGAACTCTCTCTTTGGAGGTTTCAGTTCATTTAACCAGTAGCATCTGTGAATCTATGAAAAAAAGGTTGCTTTTTCAGAACTACTAAATCTAAAAACTGCGAGAAGGGCAAATATGCTACTAACAGACATTTTACTTTCAAAATGGTAACTGAATAGTAGCAAAACTACAACAGTGAGAAGCATTTCAGTAAAGACTTTATACTCAGTTTATAACAAACAAAATACCACACTTATAAAATAGATTTTCTATAAAAGAATACCTTTAAAATATAGTGTAAACCATGTATTTTTTACAAACTTAAAAAGAAATAACTCATTGAACTAACAAGAGGTAAAAGATATTTACAAAATGTATTACAGCCCTAGAGAATTTCACTTTGGTTATAACTTTCCTAATTTAAAAATGAGGCTTTGTTTACAGAAGTGAATGTACTTTTAATATTAATATTTATATATTATGTAACATTATGTATAAATAGAATTTAAAATCCTATTTTCAACTGAAATTTTTTAAAAAGATTACCAATCTCAAATGAGACATACATAATGCAGAATTGACACAATAGTTATCCAACATGCAAAAAAATATATACATTTATATGGTGCCTAAATAGCAAATGGAGGAGAAAATCTAAGAACATTTAAAAAACACACAAATTTTGTGAAAATGGTACCAAGAACATGATTAAATGTTAAAGAAATAAATTAAGCAAGTTAAACTCTTAGTACCATGTAGGAAAGATCAATTGTATTTAAAACTCTTTTCCCAGTTGATTACCTAATTTCTTCAATTAAAAAAAAATATGAGTCTTTTAAAAAATTCTCTTACTAAAAAGTTAAAAATAAACAGAAAAGAAAACAAAAAAATGAAGTAAAAATCAAATTCAAGCCATGTTCTATAGCTATTGATTACTAGATAAGGAATTAAGATACTGTATTTTCTGGCATATAAATATGAGTGGGTATCTAAAACATGCTAATTTGCAAGGAATTTTTCTAGAAAAATAAACAGCATGAAAGTACAGTAATCCAGTTATGAAATTACCAGTCATGGACATGCTATATATATTATTCTATTACTCCTGTTAAAAATCCACGATGTCCATGCAACCAAAAAGAAATTTAATGTGGGTATGCAGAAGGATTACAGCAAAAAAATTAATTAAAATCCATAAAAATTAGGAATTGACAAAAACTCTATGATTAGTAGGTAGCATATGGTATGCTTTTGCTGAGAAAACTGTTGATGAAATATAAAACTCATAATATTGATAATTGGTTTTCTATTATTATACTCCACCTCTAAGTGTTCAGAGCTGACCTTCTATCACAAAGGCCATAATATGAATGAGGTAATTTTTGAAAAATATTTTTGAGGGGTGTGCTGCTGGGAGGCATCTCGTCTATCACCATAGATGGTTAAAAAATACATAAAACAAAAACAATAAAAAATAATGACAGGGGCAATTTAAACCATTTTTTTTTAGCTATACATAAAGTTAAGAGGACAATGTCTAAAACAGTGATAGGTCAATCAAATAAAGACAACAAAATGAAGACATTTTCAAGAGTGCAGAGTACAGAATGGACTATTGATGATGACAGCATAAAGAGAGAATCCTTACCAGTAATTTAATTTTAAATAAAGACAGAGTCACAAATCAAAGGTTTTCAAATTCTATGAAAACATGATAGGGACTACTATTCTATTTACCTTAAATTTTAAATTTGTAATTACTGTTTATCTTTGAAAATTTATAAATTTCTTAATTGTCAATCTAGTCCCAAATCACTGTTATTTTATGTATTTCTAAGTGGAGAAAGATGTACATTTAATGTTACACTGAACAAATGTTTTATAAGTTATTTTATAATTAGCATTGTATACAAACCTGAAATTCTCGAAGAAGAATTGAGATGTTCGCTTCATTTGCCAAGTTTGTCAAAATTTCAAGCTATGGTAGAAAAAAGAGAAAGTAAACATTTTAAAACACAAAAAAATAAAGGATGAATTTAATAAAGGTTTCTGTTTTTTAAAAAGTCATATTGTTACAAATGTTGTTAAGACATTATTCCCTTCAGGTGAACTTTGTCTCCTTACATCTATAAGTAGAGAATAGATAATTACGTACTGCTTAAAAAATACTAATTCTCAACTTTACAACTTATGTCTAATTATCCTAAACAGTTTAATATAGATTTTATTCTTTTGTTAATAAAGTTAGAAAGTAAGTTACTCTTCATGTAATAGCTGTTTTCGGATACCAATAAATCCTCTTGATCTGTTCATTCATCCTGCCATCCTAAATACTTAAAACATTTTAATTCTCAATTTGTCTTTATGGTTTTAAGAAATATGTAATTAGAAGTCCATCTCTAATAGGCTCACTAAAAAAATTTCAATTTTTACTCATAAAAACACAAGATGTAGCTATAAACAATTACATTAAAAGTAAATGATCCAAACACTCCAATTAAAAGGCACAGATTATAGGACTTCTTTTAATGTTCTATATACTAGTCATTTTTCAGATATATGTATTAGGGATATTTTCTCCCAGATTATGGCTTCACTTTTTACTTTGATTAGTACATTGTAATTTTCTGTACAATTTTTAAAAACAACCTCAAACATACAGAAAACTTAAAAAAAAAGCAAAACTATTTCTGATCTGATTTGAGACTAGAGTTTTGATTTGAGACCAGAGTTACCAATCTGATACCACATCATTTTCAAATACCTGTGTATATGTTTCCTAGAAACAGAGACATTATCCCACAGACTACAATACAAACAAGAAAATCAGGAAGTTAACACTGATATATCACATCTATGCAACTGTCACTCCTCATTTACATTTTCCTAGTTATCTCGATCATGTATAAAGAAAGGATCCAGCACAATATCATGTGCTGCACTCAGTTGTCTATTTAGTTTCCTTCAGTTTCTCATCTTTCTTCTGACCTTCACAATATTAACAATGATTGCAAACCAATTACTGTGTAAAATATCCTTCAATTTGGGTATATTTTATATTTTATTATTAAACCCAGTTTCCATATGAATAACTAATTATTCCAATATTTATTGAATAGTCCATTCTTTCCCCATAGGTTTGTAATGTCACCTGTATTATATTGTACATTTTCACATGCATGGATCTGTTTCCAGGCTTTCTAGTCTATTTTGTTTATTTTGCTAAGCTTCACATTGTCTTAGTCACTACAGATTTAAATCCCTAACTACATCTATACTGTAGTTATTCCCTGAACACAACACTCTTTTGTAATCCCTTATGTTAGTACAAACTGCCTTTCCCCTACTCCCAAACCCTACAACCTCCCAATCAACCTATCAAATAACAAAAAAATTTACAAAAATGTTATTCTTTTAAGATATACTCAAACATCATCTTTTCCACAAGTCTTCCCACAGAATTAATCCCACCTCTGTGTTTTACACAGCACTCAATTCAAGTCTCTGAAACACTTAAAAGACATAATAATGAAATTATCTATTTATATCAGTCTTCTTCACAGTACCATGAGTTACTCGAGGTACAGGTAGCATGTCTTACTTTGTATTATTAGAATGAGCACAGAAACAAGTATATAATAATAATATAGTTCAGAAAGTATAAAGAAAATCCCTAAATGTACCTATTTTCTTTTTAAAGCAGGTCCCTATTTTGCAGATATGAGAAGCTATGGCAGTATCTTCAAAGTAAACATGCATCAGAGTATCTGAAAAATAAGAGCATGCATACCTTCAGTGTCTTGATCATAGTTGGATCAGTTGACCTAACATAGAAACTCTTCAGATAAGGTTCAAACATACCCTAGATTATAAAAATAAATATATAAATATACTTATGGTACTAATGCATTCATTTCTCGATTCAATTATGTATTCAGTGTACATACCTTTCTTTGAATTGACATTGTTGCTATATTCTGTAGGACAATATACTGCACCTCTCTAGAAATTAAAAGAATATTTTTCATTAGGTATATTTTCCAGTGAAATTATCTTTAATCAACACATTAGAGAAAAATAATCAGCAGCAAGTTTCATATTGAATGGAACTTTTAAACATAATAGTGAAAAGTTTTTAGTAAATCTTGGGTTTTTTTAAAATTTTTAAATTTTGGTGTTATTAATCTATAATTACATGAGCAACATTATGGTTACTAGACTCCCCCCATCATAAATCTTGGATATTTATACCCACTTTTTAAAATACATTTTAAGTAAATATATTTTATTAATATATATTATTAATAAATTAGATTTGATTCATCATGAGGAAGAGTTAAAACCAGTTTTATAATATCATATTCCTAAGATGTAAAGCCAATACTGTAGCTGCTCTGTATGCATGCAAGGAAGGTATTCTTAGGGCTACTGGAATAAATATGACTATAGCAATAATATAAACTCTTGGTTGGTTCACTGTGTCACTCAATTCTGCCCAGAGTGAAAGACAAGTTAAAAAAACAGTCATTTTACTTTATGCCCAAACATCTAAGAAATGAAGGTAGAACTGAATCCGGTATAAGGCTTCATGTGAAAGTTGCATTCCAGATCCTTCTGATAATTTTTGAACTACCTATAGTTCAAGAAAGAAAAATTGTTGAACTGATAGAAGGGAAAAGAATGACTATGTATAAAGACAGGGGAGAGAACAGGAACATAAAGGAAATGGTATCTCACTAAGGAATGTCGGAAGCCAATATAGGCCTCAAGTTATAGCACTAAGTTTGAGTTAAGGACAAAAATAAATATGTATTCCCCTCCCCATCCCAGCTCTATTAGTAGAAATAAGCACTCAAAGAAACAATTTAATTTAAAATAATTAATTATTAACTGAAATAGAATCTTAAACAGAGGGAGAACAGAATGATGGTTGCCATAGAGGAGAAGGGTGGGGATTGGGTGAAACAGGTGTAAGGGGAAAAAAAAATCAGTGAGAATGTTTGGTATCTTGATCTGGGGCAATGGTTACATGAGTATATACACATGTCAAAATTCATCAGCCTATACATTAAGATTTGTACATTTTATTATATATACCTCAATATAAAATATTTTTTTAAAAACTACTAATTACAAAATACCCAGGGTAAGCTAAATGTTTAAATTCTTAAACACAGAAAACAAAACAAACAAAAATCTGATCTTAAAATTTCAAAGTACATGTCACAGGAACTCTATGTAAGTTTTCTGAATTGTTGACCTGAACTGCTGAATTACAGCAAGGTAAAATTAAAGAGAAGGGTATTCTTGCTATCTATCTATCTATCTATCATCATTTATTTACCTATAGGAAATGAAAAGAGTATGCACCTCCTTAAAAAAAGTAGCTATTAAGAACATAGTTCTCTCCTTAAATAGAGCAAACTACAGTAATTAAATGCAGCAACTTTACAGAAAGTAGCAATTCTGCCATAAACTACATATTTAGCATATGTACTGCTTTATATAAAATCACATATAATTATACTAAGCCAATTTGATAATACTGAAATGTGAAATGTATAGTTTTTCAGTGTTTCCAGATTTACTTGAACTCCGAAACACTGTCATTATCACATGTACAAAAACACTTTAGTAGGCTACTACTGGTGATAGCACATACTATTTGACAAAAAATATTTTCAATCTCTTTGGACTTGTGTTAAAACCATCTAGTACTTATCATTAACTTTGAGATAAACTGTATACGGGCTTTTATGATGATCCCCTTAAGCATGAAATCTTATTGGTAAAATAGAGTAAGAGCCATGTATTAGATGTCTGAAGACAGATTATATTTGTTTAAACATTATTTTTGAATGAATACAGCAGAGAAAAAATTCACAAAATCATGTCCTACCTATTGCTACGAAGTAAACGCACTAGTGATTTGGAAATAATGCCAGCTTCAGATTTTGGTGATATGTGCCAAAACAGCTGAGCAACTGCCATAACCACCTAAAAGATAAGGCATGAAAACAGTAAAAACTATGAACACTGAGCACCCTATAGTTTCAAAGTACATTCTTATATATTATTTCCATAATTCCTATAGGATTCCTGTGAAGTAAGAAGAATATGTAGTTACCCTTTTAGCAGACTGAAGTGTCCCCCCAATAATTCATGTGTATCCTCAGAATGTGACCTTATTTGGAAATCAAGTCTTTGCAGATGTTATTAAGATAATGTTTAGATGATATCATACAGGGTTAGAATGGGCCCTAAGTCCAATGAATGTCCCTATAAGAGACAGAAAAGGACACAGAGACACAGAGAAGAAGGCAACGTGAAGATGGAGGCAGATACTGGTTGATGTATCTATAACCCAAGGAATGCTGGATTGTTGCCACCCATCAGAAGGTAGCAAAGGCAGTTTCTCCCACAGAGCCTCCAGAAAGAATCAACAATGTTGACACCTTGATTTTTGACTTCTGGCCTCTGAAATATGAAAGAATAAATTTCTATTGTTTTAAACCACTCAGTTTGTGGTAATGTGTTCTGACAGTCCCTAGAAACTAACACAACTTGAGAAAAGAAAATACATGTAAAATGAAATGCCCAAGGTAAGAGAGCCAGTATATGATAAAGCTTGACACAACACTCCAAATCCCATACTCTTAGTATTGCTCCTGCTGTTCTGAAATTGGGATTTAAAAAATTGCAAACATGTCTTTTCAAATGAGCCAAATACTTCAGAACAAGAATATCAGCAAAGCCAAAATATTTAAAAAATCACTGTATTTAATATATAATTAAAGTAACTCTATTAAAACAATTACTCTAAAACAGCAGCATTTGGGATGATACGCATATTATGGACTGTTAACAAATTAAATACTCTCAACCACATTAACATAACAGAGAAATACAGTCTTCCATCAACTGAGAAACATCTTGAGCTCCTATCTTAGGGAATGCCAATAAACAAAGCCACTTCAAAAAAGTAAATGAAGTCCAGTAGGCATATAACTACCAAACCAAATCATCTCATCAAAACCTGATTTTTTGTACTACAAACCAATAAATGCTCCATTAGCACACTCAAAAATAAGACTTGTTTACTGAACTTACGTACTTTTAACCACTGTTTAAAAAAATTCGGTTATTTTTTATAAGGGTTTTAACATACCGCTGCATTCCTGCTCTGAAGCAAAGGCTTCGTATTCCGAATTAAAAGTCTATGGTCTGGATCCATAGTATATGGCTTCTTCTTTTTGCCAGACTTTTCCTTCTGTTCATCATCAGATTCATAGAAATTCTTTTCATTGTCTTCTAGATCAACATCCTATGGGAAAGAAATCCAATCCAAGATTAGTTAAGACCTTGATCAGTCCAAATGTTATACAAAGACATCTTTTTTTTAACATCTACAATAATGGTGATGTTTTACTGGAGAATACTACTGTTAAGGCAATTTGAAAATATTATACTACCTACGTGAAAGAAAGTCTTGCCTTTTCTCGTATTTTATAATACAGTAACTGTCCTTTAGTGCTACAGATGATAATTCTTTTATATTACACAGTAAAAACCTTTGAAAATACTAAATCCCCATAGAAATACCTTTAGCTACCCAAAGGGAAAACTTGACCATTAGATTCTAACAAAGCCTGTAATAATGAGACTACTTAAATTCTGAAAACTATTTCCATAAATTATTAGTCCCTCTGTAACTGGACCAAAGGGTCTGAAGAAAGAAGAGAACTGTTTGAATTATAATACACATAAAAGGGATGATAAAGTTTGACAAGTTTGAAACTACTGATTAAGTGGTCCCTGTGTTATGGAGAAAGACTCAGTCTAAGATTTATGTATATCCACAAGAGCTGATTCTGTTTTGTTTTGTACTTTCCATTTGAACTCTTCATTATCTTTGTCAGTAAATTAGCCTATAGGCATTTAGCCCTAAAAATAAACAAAGAGCAGGCTAAGACAGAAATATCCACATGGATAAAATTCAACTACTGTTTAGAAGTAAGTTCCCTTACCAAGTAACTGAAACAGAACTTTCCCCTTCTGGGAAGAATAAGCAGATGTAATTTTCCTTGTTCCTCTTAGTAAATACAACTAGAAATCCAAAACATTATATATATAAAATAAACCTAAAAATTGAAAGGCAGAGAAAAGAAAGATTGGATAGAATACCAGGACCCAAAAAATGACACAAGAATGAGTTCCTTAGGTTTACATTCTATTTCATATGAAAAAGACTGGGTGCTACAGAAGCTGGTAACCCAGAAACACCAACAAGCAAAGAGAAAACAAAGCTTCCAAAGTCTGCTCTCTGTAGACAAAGGATTAAGAGAAGAAAAAACCAGCAAGACAAAACTTTTTTAGAAATTAACTGCTCCAAGTGCAGTTAATTCTCCAGTAGAGGAAAAAATTATAGCCCCATCTCCACCCACATCCCCATCTGCAAAGGCTGACATGGAGAACCTACTTCTGGGTTTGGATTTCCAGAGATGCCCCAACCATCCCACTAGAATGGTGTCAGAAAAGACCAAGATGGGACCAAGACTTTAATCCTCACCAAGAGGTAACAAGGCACCACGGCAGTGTCAGTGGAGGCTAAGTGGGAAGCTCAGATAGCCAGGCCCACCCATCAGTAACAAGGGACCTTTTCCCTTCCCACTATTCTAGTGTTAAGAGGATGCTTATTGGACACTCCAAGGACTTGCAGAACTGATATCCAGTGGTAACAAAGACACACCACTCTGTGATGTGGAGGACACATATGGAACAGTCAGGAGACACTTCTACCCCTCCCAGCCAGACAGCTCTCAAGGGAATATTAGTGGGGAGTCAAAAACCCCACATTCACCCACAGTAACAATGAGCATAACCTCTGTGAGGTGTTAATGGAGTCTGAGTAGGGAACCTGGACTTCTACCACAACCTGGCAGTAATGAGGTGCCATGCACCCTACCTTTCCCTGGTGCAGCAGGGCCAAACAAACCTGGCTAAACTATAAGATTTGATAAGATCCAGACTCTCACAATCAATTCAAAAAGGGGCAGAAGACACTGTTACGGACTGAATTCTACCCCTCCTACCCCATTCACACGTTGAAACCCGAATCCTCAACCAAGACTGTACTTTTGTAAAAACAGGACCTTTAAAGAGGTAATTAAGGTTAAATTAAGTGATGAGGGTGCAGCTCTAAGCTCTAATCCAATAGGCTTACTGTCCTTACAAGACAGAGGCCAATGATGGCACAGGGAAAAGGCATACCAAGGCTTCGGAGAAGGCAGCCATCTGCAAGCCAAGGAAAGAGGCCTTGGGAAAAACGAAATCTGCCAACACCTTCCTTGTTCAGGGACTCTCAGCCTCCTGCAAGAACTGTGAGAAGCTGTGGGAATATAAATGTTGATCAAGCCACCCATTCTGTAGTATTTTGATATGGCAGCCATAGCAAACTAAAATCAACAAATGATTCACCAAAGGAGCTACACAAATGGCAAAAAAGCACATGAAAATACAATCAACTTCATTAGCTAATTGGGAAATGCAATTAAAACCACAGCAAGATACCACTACACACAGATCAGAATGGCTCTGTTCTACAAAAAATACTGATAACACCAAATGATAATGAGGATATAGAGGAAAGGATCACTCATATACTGGTGATGTACATGAGAGGTTACAGTCATAAGCAGGTTAAATAAATAAATAAATGAGAGTGGAAATCCTTGTCTTATTCCCGATTCTAGAGGAAAAGCTTTCAGCTTTTCACCACTGGTAAGATGTTAGCTGTGGGTGTGTCATGTATGGTCTATATTATGTTGAGAATATACATACTTTGTTAAGAGTTTTTATTATGAATGGATATTCAATTATGTAAAGTGGGAAGCTCAGATAGCCAGGCCCACCCATCAGTAACAAGGGACCTTTTCCCTTCCCACTATTCTAGTGTTAAGAGGATGCTTATTGGACACTCCAAGGACTTGCAGAACTGATATCCAGTGGTAACAAAGACACACCACTCTGTGATGTGGAGGACACATATGGAACAGTCAGGAGACACTTCTACCCCTCCCAGCCAGACAGCTCTCAAGGGAATATTAGTGGGGAGTCAAAAACCCCACATTCACCCACAGTAACAATGAGCATAACCTCTGTGAGGTGTTAATGGAGTCTGAGTAGGGAACCTGGACTTCTACCACAACCTGGCAGTAATGAGGTGCCATGCACCCTACCTTTCCCTGGTGCAGCAGGGCCAAACAAACCTGGCTAAACTATAAGATTTGATAAGATCCAGACTCTCACAATCAATTCAAAAAGGGGCAGAAGACACTGTTACGGACTGAATTCTACCCCTCCTACCCCATTCACACGTTGAAACCCGAATCCTCAACCAAGACTGTACTTTTGTAAAAACAGGACCTTTAAAGAGGTAATTAAGGTTAAATTAAGTGATGAGGGTGCAGCTCTAAGCTCTAATCCAATAGGCTTACTGTCCTTACAAGACAGAGGCCAATGATGGCACAGGGAAAAGGCATACCAAGGCTTCGGAGAAGGCAGCCATCTGCAAGCCAAGGAAAGAGGCCTTGGGAAAAACGAAATCTGCCAACACCTTCCTTGTTCAGGGACTCTCAGCCTCCTGCAAGAACTGTGAGAAGCTGTGGGAATATAAATGTTGATCAAGCCACCCATTCTGTAGTATTTTGATATGGCAGCCATAGCAAACTAAAATCAACAAATGATTCACCAAAGGAGCTACACAAATGGCAAAAAAGCACATGAAAATACAATCAACTTCATTAGCTAATTGGGAAATGCAATTAAAACCACAGCAAGATACCACTACACACAGATCAGAATGGCTCTGTTCTACAAAAAATACTGATAACACCAAATGATAATGAGGATATAGAGGAAAGGATCACTCATATACTGGTGACGTACATGAGAGGTTACAGTCATAAGCAGGTTAAATAAATAAATAAATGAGAGTGGAAATCCTTGTCTTATTCCCGATTCTAGAGGAAAAGCTTTCAGCTTTTCACCACTGGTAAGATGTTAGCTGTGGGTGTGTCATGTATGGTCTATATTATGTTGAGAATATACATACTTTGTTAAGAGTTTTTATTATGAATGGATATTCAATTATGTCAAACATTTTTTTAGCATCTATTGAGTTAATCATATGGTTTTTATCCTTTCATTTGTTATGTGTGTGTTTGTTATTTCATTTGTTAGATGTGCTGTGCCACACTGATTGCTTTATGGAGACTGAACCATCCTTACATCCCTGAAATAAATCCCACTTGGTCATGGTGAATGATCCTTTTAATGTATTTCTGAATTTGGTTGGCTAATATTTTGTTGAGGATTTTGCATGTATGTTCATCAGGGATATTGGTCTATAACTGTTTTCTTTGAAGTATATTTTATTTTGGTATTAGGATGATGCTGGCCTCATAGAATGAATTAGAAAGCAGCAGTCCTTCCTCTTGTATTTTTTGGAATAGTTTAAGGACAGGTATTAACTCTTCTTTAAATGTTTAGTAGACTTCTCTTATGAAGCCATCTGGCCCTGGACTCTTGTTTGTTGGGAGTATTTTGATTACTGATTTAATTTTGTTAGTAGCACTTGGCCTGTTCAGATTTTCTATTTCATTCTGGTTCAGTCTTGAGAGATTGCATGTTCCTAGGAATTTATCCATTTCTTACAAGTTGTCCAAATTGTTGGTATGTAATTTTCCATAGTAATCTTTTATAACCATTTGTATTTCTGTTGGTTGTAACTTAGCTTTCATTTCTGATTTTATTTATTTGAGTCCTCTTTTTTTTCTTGATGAGTCTAGCTAATGGTTTCTCAATTTTGTTTATGTTTACAAAGAACCATCTCTTAGTTTCATTGATCATTTATAATTTAGTTTTTTTGGTCTCTATGTTATTTATTCCTACTCTGGTCTTTATTTCCCTTCTTTCTACTAGTTTTGGACTTAGTTCTTTTTCTAGTTCATTTAGGTATAGGGTTAGATTGTTTATCTGAAATATTACTATGCTGTTTAATCTTCATGCCTTTGTGGTGTTTTTTTTTTTGGTAACTGATATCCAGTTTCATACCATGGTGGCTAGAAAAGATACTTGATATGAATTCCTCAATTTGCTGAGATGTGCTTGTGGTATAACATGTAATCTATCCTAGAAAACACTTGGTGTGTACTTGAAAAGGATGTTTTGGGATGTAATGTTCCGTATATATCTGTTAAATCCATTTGGTTTAATGTGTTGTTCAAAGACAACAGTTTCCTTACACAGCAGCATTCTCTCAGT